TGGGTCTCCCTGTGGCTGGCAGCTCCACCCCCTTCCACTAAGAGTTTGGCAAGTAGGTGTCTGCCAATGTGGCAGCACAGGTGTAGTCCCAGGCAATCTGCTTTCCATCCTTCCAGGGTAGCATAGTGGCTCCATCAGGACGCTTTTGACTTCCATCAGACCTCTGTACTTGGGGTTCCCGTTGAGCTGGGCAACGGGCTGTGGCGAGCTTCTCTTTATTATGTCATTGATCCCTCATTCTGGCATACTTCCCCTTCTGCTGTGTGGCACACGAGACCATGAAGTTCGAATTGATCAGCTGTGCCCCTGCCGCAAAACACCTATGTTCGGTTGAGGATGGGGCGGCTAGGCGAAGAGCAACACCAATCCGAATGGCCTGTGGGTCGAGACGGGTGCCCAGGGAGGAAGTGGGAACAGCTAACAGGAAATCTCCTGAGTGTGGTGCCTTCACTGCCAGTAGACGAGCTTTGTTCTTTCCTGAAGCATTGGAGAGCATTGTGTTGGCGATTTTTTCCATGATCGGTTTGTCCCAGTGGGACTGTTTGTGCTGTTTGGAGGAACTGGTCTACTGGAGGAGTCTGTAAGGGTGTCCACCGAATCGCTGCTTCAGTAAACCTGGGGTCTTGAGGTCCTACCAAGTCTCTCAAGCGTTCGGGCACTATCTTCTTGACTAATGCACTGGAAGCCAAACACGAAGACAGAAAAGCAGGTAAAGCAACATGTGTTGCTTTACGCACCCCTATACCTCCCAGTCGCACTGGGAGGGTTGCCTGATCCCATTGCTCATCCTCTATGGGCAGGTTCAGTGCCTTCTTAAAAGTTGATCTCAGGCGGCGTCATATTCATCGAGTGTTGGGTTGTCAAAAGAGGGGGCAAAACCTCAAGAAGTAGTCTGGAATAGTAAGACAAAACCCTTTTGAGGAGATTCAGAGCATCATGGGCATCAAGATCGCTTATTCTCTCCTGCAATTTTCATCAGGTCATTCAATTTGTCCCTGAGGACAGTATCGATGGCCTGGTGACCCAGCGGTGCCCCCAAGAGGGTACTGTTGGAAAGGGGTTGTAGTTGAGACTTCTGGGAGGATTCTTCGCACAGGGTTGATTATTTCCTGGTTCGCTGTGATGATTTCACACTTGGAGGGATTGAGGATGAGTCCCAAGTCTTCTCCCTGTGTTTCCACCAGTTGTAGGTTCCCCCACCAGGGGCTCTTTAGTACCTGCCAAGTGCCGTCATCCAGGTACCAGATATTGAGCTCACTGCGTAGGCTGGAAGTTAGTTCTCTTACTGCCAAGCAGAAGAGAAGTGGAAGCGAGTGGGTCCACCCTGCTGAACACCCTGATGATTGAATTTCATGTTCTCCAAGCAAAAGAATTGAGGGTTTGCTGTAGCCGGCTGAAATGAAGGGAAAGAGACTGGGGAACCGAACCCGAACAGCTGCAAAACAGCATCTCTCTTCACCATATTAAAGGCATTTCTAAAATCAAGTTTGACTATGGCCTTGTCTTCTGGTAGGTCCCTGATGTAGGCCCTTGCCGCATGAGCTGCAGCTTCACTGCCTTGAGAGACCCCAAAGCCCAGTTGGTTTTGGCTGAGTAAAGTGGCAGCTTCTAGGCGAATGTTTTCTCACTGCTGCTTTGGCAACGAGACGGCGAAGAGTGTTTCCAACTGCAATGGGTCTGATTCCCCCATCCCTCTTCTTCAAAGCACATAGTGAGGCTCCAATTGTGAGGCAATTGTTGACGAAAGTTGTTAACTCGGTGAGAAGAATTGATGCAGATTCACCGAGTACTGGATTTAACCATCTCTTTGAGGTGCTGAGGTCGAATTCCAGTGTATCCCCCTGCAGATCCTGCTGGAAATGACACGATCGCCCTTTTAGACTTCCGATTTGGCAAAATTAATTGTTCAGTAATGGGGGCTTCTTCAGGGTTTGTCGTTGATGGCTATGGTGTCCCTGGGTTTGGGTGCTTGTCTCTTTGCTTAGGGCCCTGGTCTCATTCTTGGGCTACTGTTCGTGACTTGTAATTATTCTTATTGCTCCCACTGGTACCTTCTTCAATTTTTTGCTAACCTGTGCGCAATTTTCTCGTTTTCAGTGGACTTTTCTTGGTTCTACCTTGATTCCCGCGATTGATGGGGCAGAGGGACACAGTTATCCTTCTTTGGTATTGCGCACTGCCTTGATAATGGACGTGGTTAGCAGTTTGCCTCGTCTTTCAGGACTGCAAAGACAGACATTGCCTAAAAAAGAAGTAGGTTGCGCCATGCTTGGATGGTGCCTCGGGCTTCTAAGTTGGGTGAGGCCTCCATTCACCCGCTTAAGAAGGTCTGTGAATTTCCCTGCGCATATGGGCGAGCCGCTTTAGGGATGTGGGATAGTGTACTGCTAGCAGTCGATTTGAATGCCAACAGAAGGGTTTTCGCAAGTGACGAGTTCCATTGGAATTGTCATCTGCCTGTGGAGGCTGTGGGCTGTTCTCTGCTGGGGGCATATGTGATCCTGCACACCCATTGTGTGCACGAATGCGTTCGTCCCTGTTGCGTGCTCGAAAATCTCCACACACCTGACATGTGCCTCTTCTTTCATTGTTGGGTGCATTGTACATATATAATGTATATATATATATATAAAAAATATATATATATATATATATTTAATATATATATATATATATATTATATATATAATATATATATGTATATATATAAAATATATGTATATGCAAAACAACCACTCCTTGATAATGTGAGTAGTCACGAAAAACGCTTGGAATTTCTCTATTCTTTCAAGTAGTTTTTTTTGCATATTCTGAAAACACCTGTTTACGTGATCTTATTGCATATGTATATATATATATATATATATATATATATTTTATATAATATATATAAAATAATATAATATTATATATATATATATAATATAAAATATATATGTATATATATATATATATGTCGTGCCGAATATGTAAAACTGGTTAATTAGCAAGAACTCATTTAAAATTAAGTCCTTTCTGAAATTTTCTTTTATACGTTTAAGATATTTTTTTTCATTAATGTTAATGTAAAAAAATTTAATTTTGCACCAAAAAAATCTTTAGAAAACTTACCAACCTTATTATAACAAGAACAATTTATTTTAGCCTAACCCAACTAAATATATTTTAGATTTTTTTACAGTAATTTAATAATAAACAAACACAGAAATATATTTTTTTTGTTAGGTTCAGAATGGGTTTTGGCGAAATTATTGCATACACAATTTTTACTTGTCCTATATGGCAAGATGAGCGTTCTATTTAAGCCAAGATCGCAAGTTCTGCCTATTCGGCACGACATATATATATAATATATAATATATATATATATAAATATATATAAAATAAAATATATATATATATATATATATATATATATATATATAGAATCGTAAAAAGCATTGCAAACTATGCACAAGTCACTAAACGATGACAAATTCTAGCCCTAGGCATTTCGCATTGTCACCAGTGCTTCTTCAGGAAGCAATGGTGACAATGGAAGGGTTGCAACAGGTAGAATGTGAGAAAAATTCGCAGAGGTAGGAAGACAATGTACTTATCACTGTTCTCAGAAAGACCAGGTTCAGTCCTCCCATACAATCATTTCTCTCTCGTCCTTGCCTTCACGCATTCCCCGCCCATAAATGTGAAGTAAAGGATTAACACCAGAGCTGACAAGGAACAAGGACTACTATTTAACATATTTAACACGACAGAGACAGTATTATTAATTCTTGTCACCTGGTCTGTTGAGGTGAGCTGAGCAAAGTTAATTGTCACCACGACGAGTTGTCCCATCATTTTCACTGACCTCACTTAAGTGTTGTGACAATAAAATAAAAACTCCTCTGAATGTTGCCAAAAAAAACCTTCCACTGCCACTTTTTTTTGTCTAGATAACCATTGCCTGCAAGTGAAGTGCAGTGTTAAGATGTCATTCACACAAATTAAAGTTTGTTGCTGGAACATTTAAGTATTCGTGTAACAATATACTTCATAAAATTATCAGATTTAAACGCCAGTTTACAACTGTCGTTATCTATTTTGGTCACAATCACGTACGTGACAGAACAACACTACTTGTGTTACGCTTTCGAGATTACCTTCTTTCTTCTGTATAACGTCTATTTAAATTTCTTCCCATTTCTCCCATACATATTTTTTCCAGACATGCTTACAAAGACGAAAGACGTAACCTTTCTTAGCATTGTTACTGGATTTAGTTTTTAACAACAGCATCGTGGTTAATGCTTCTCTGTGCTGTATTAAAAGTCATCCCATTGAGACAAGTCTAATATTTCATCTCTGCATTATCATGTAGCATGAGGCAGTTGTTAAGCTCTTTACTTATGGCATTCTGCAGTTAAATGAGGTTACGAAATGTACTTCCAGTAATGTACTGTTATTATTATTATTGTTATTATTGTTATTATTATTATTATTATTATTATTATTATTATTATTATTATTATTATTATTATTATTATTATAGGGAACGTTAAACCCGTAGGGATTATTCAGTACCTTTTGGGGGGGGGATGGAATGCATTCAGGCTCAGTTCAGGGAACTGGAAAAATGAAAGTTTTTCTTTTTACCTTCAGGAATGTATACGAGAGAAAGGCTTTCAATGCAATAACTAGGTGAGTACAAATAGGAAGCGCGTCTGTCTGGCGCTCAGCAGACGGAGGATCAAGCCTTCACGTCATGCGCTGAATGATCCCCATGGATTTAGCGCTTAACATAAATTATTTAGTAATTTCAATGCAATGTTATATTGGGAAATTCATCCAACAAATATCTTAGCAAATCATTCACAAGGTATCATCGTAAAGAAAGCATGTGATGTTTTTAATGAGAAACGAGGAAATCACAAAGAAAATAGTTCAGTATCATAACCAGCCTCTGCAAAATGATCCTGTCACTTCCATTTGATAACTCACGTGATATGTAACCTTTGCAGAGTGACCACATCAGGACGATCATCAAGGCACGGGGTCTGTGGTACCCCAACGTTAACGGCAAGACCTTTGCTGTCTTCAGAGTGGATAACAGACATCATCTTATGTCCTTGGTCTCCATGCTTGGTGAGTGAAAGTTCGTGAGAGAGCGAGAGAGAGAGAGAGAGAGAGAGAGAGAGAGAGAGAGAGAGAGAGAGAGAGAGAGGATTATTATTATATTCATAAAGAAGGGATTGAACTTAAAGTAGTCATGTAACGCCTAGGAAAGGAGATATAATAAGGTCTGATACAAGATATCTCTAGTTCCTTGAATCGAGAGCTATTTAATGGCAGGAGAGGAAGTGTAACAGCCATCCCCCTCATAATAACACTCTTGAGCTCCTTTTATTGTTTCCTCTATTTTGAAGAAAAAACTTTAGCAAATTATTCACTATTCTCTTGCTTCCAAAAGAACATCTTTCATTTGTTCTCTGGTTCCAAAAAAAATATATTTCTTACGCTCTCGTGCTGCCAGACGACCATCTTCCTCAGCAATAAGATGAGTTTCCTGACCGTGGTTACAGGTCCCACACCAGACTGGATTGTGGGAGTGTCTGCCCTGGAGCTGTGTTTGAGGAACTGTACTTGGGTCGACCAGAAGTCACTTAACCTTTACCCCTGGGACGCAGGCACCGACTCCGGCATCACTTATGAGGTACGTAGTGGGTTGTGGTGGCGTTAGCGGCTGTTGTGATGGGAGTACTTAAATCAATTAAGTATCTATTTCCCTGGCTGGCAGTGTGAGCAGAAAAGACTGCTCTGAATCAGACAATTTAAATATCACGTATATTCAAAAAGACAAACATAGCCTATCTCAGCAAGAGAGAGAGAGAGAGAGAGAGTGGTCACCTTGACCCAGAATATTAATTAATACTTATTTCGATTGAGCCAAGCACAAATACTCTATAAATCATTAAAATTAATTACAGATAACCAGGTGCCCAGCAATGATAATAGAATCAAACACTGGCAAAGTATAGCTTAGAGGAATTTTATTAATGAGCTCTAAATGTCTGGAAAAGACGTAAGAAGGTATGGTTATAAAATGTTGTGTGTAGGGTGAGTTAAAAATGTTGTGTGTAGGGTGAGTTAAAATGTTGTGTGTAGGGTGAGTTAAAAATGTTGTGTGTAGGGTGAGTTAAAATGTTGTCTGTAGGGCGAGTTAAAATGTTGTGTGTAGGGTGAGTTAAAATGTTGTGTGTAGGGTGAGTTAAAAATGTTGTGTGTAGGGCGAGTTAAAATGTTGTGTGTAGGGTGAGTTAAAAATGTTGTGTAGGGTGAGTTAAAATGTTGTGTGTAGGGTGAGTTAAAAATGTTGTGTGTAGGGTGAGTTTAAAATGTTGTGTGTAGGGTGAGTTAAAATGTTGTATGTAGGGCGAGTTAAAAATGTTGTGTGTAGGGTGAGTTAAAATGTTGTCTATAGGGCGAGTTAAAATGTTGTGTGTAGGGTGAGTTTAAAATGTTGTGTGTAGGGTGAGTTAAAAAATGTTGTGTGTAGGGCGAGTTAAAATGTTGTGTGTAGGGTGAGTTAAAAATGTTGTGTAGGGTGAGTAAAAATTGTTGTGTGTAGGGTGAGTTAAAATGTTGTGTGTAGGGTGAGTTAAAAATGTTGTGTAGGGTGAGTTAAAATGTTTGTGTGTAGGGCGAGTTAAAATGTTGTGTGTAGGGTGAGTTAAAATGTTGTGTGTAGGGTGAGTTAAAATGTTGTGTGTAGGGTGAGTTAAAATGTTGTGTGTAGGGTGAGTTAAAATGTGGTGTGTAGGGTGAGTTAAAATGTTGTGTGTAGGGCGAGTTAAAATGTTGTGTGTAGGGTGAGTTAAAATGTTGTGTGTAGGGTGAGTTAAAATGTGGTGTGTAGGGTGAGTTAAAATGTTGTGTGTAGGGTGAGTTAAAATGTTGTATGTAGGGTGAGTTTAAAATGTTGTGTGTAGGGTGAGTTAAAATGTTGTGTGTAGGGTGAGTTAAAATGTGGTGTGTAGGGTGAGTTAAAATGTTGTGTGTAGGGTGAGTTAAAATGTGTATGTAGGGTGAGTTAAAATGTTGTGTGTAGGGTGAGTTAAAATGTTGTGTGTAGGGTGAGTTAAAATGTTGTGTGTAGGGTGAGTTAAAATGTTGTGTGTAGGGTGAGTTAAAATGTTGTGTGTAGGGCGAGTTAAAATGTTGTGTGTAGGGTGAGTTAAAATGTTGTGTGTAGGGTGAGTTAAAATGTTGTGTGAAGGGCGAGTTAAAAATGTTGTGTGTAGGGTGAGTTAAAATGTTGTGTGTAGGGTGAGTTAAAATGTTGTGTGTAGGGTGAGTTAAAATGTTGTGTGTAGGGTGAGTTAAAATGTTGTGTGTAGGGTGAGTTAAAATGGCAGATTCGTAAGATTTAGGATTAATGACATTACATTCTGACCATACATACTGACCATACATTCTGACCATACATGCTGACTATACATACTGACCATACATACTGGCCATACATACTGACCATACATACTGACCATACATACTGAAAATACATACTGACTATACATACTGACCATACATTCTGACCATACATACTGACTATACATTCTGACCATACATATTGACTATACATACTGACCATACATACTGACCATACATACTGACCATACATACTGACTATACATACTGATCATACATACTGACGATACATACTGACCATACATACTGACCATACATACTGACCATACATACTGACCATACATACTGACAATACATACTGACCATACATACTGACTATACATACTGACCATACATACTGACCATACATACTGACCATACATACTGACCATACATACTGACTATACATACTGACCATACATACTGACCATACATACTGACCATACATACTGACCATACATACTAACCATACATACTGACCATACATACTGACCATACATACTGACCATACATACTGATCATACATACTGACCATACATACTGACCATACATACTGACCATACATACTGACTATACATACTGACCATACATACTGACTATACATACTGACCATACATACTGACCATACATACTGACCATACATACTGACCATACATACTGACCATACATACTGACTATACATACTGACCATACATTCTGACCATACATACTGACTATACATTCTGACTATACATACTGACTATACATACTGACCATACATACTGACCATGCATACTGACCATACATACTGACCATACATACTGACTATACATACTGACCATACATACTGACTATACATACTGACCATACATACTGACCATACATACTGACCATACATACTGACCATACATACTGACTATACATACTGACCATACATACTGACTATACATACTGACCATACATACTGACCATACATACTGACCATACATACTGACCATACATACTGACTATACATACTGACCATACATACTGACCATACATACTGACCATACATACTAACCATACATACTGACCATACATACTGACCATACATACTGACCATACATACTGACCATAAATACTGACCATACATACTGACCATACATACTGATCATACATACTGACCATACATACTGACCATACATACTGACCATATATACGGACCATACATACTGACCTTGCATACTGACCATACATACTGACCATACATACTGACTATACATACTGACCATACATACTGACCATACATACTGACCATACATACTGACTATACATACTGACCATACATACTGACCATACATACTGACCATACATACTGACCATATATATGGACCATACATACTGACCTTACATACTGACCATACATAATGACCATACATACTGACCATACATTCTGACCATACATACTGACCATACGTACTGACCATACATACTGACCATACATACTAAACATACATACTGATAATACATATTGACCTTACATACTGACCATAAATACATACTGACCATACATACGGGCCATACATTCTGACCATACATACTAACCATACATACTAACCATACATACTAACCATACATACTAATATTATAAAACCCAGACCAAGGAACTCAGAAAATCCACTTGTATTGATGAAAAGGAATAAGTAATTAAGAAGGAATTGCAAATCTATAGAAGAAATTATGATGATGGACAAGAAATTAGGATGATTATAAAGAATAAATAACAAAAAGGCACAATACCGTGACTGGAACGATACACAAATAACCCGCACATAAAAGACAGAAGCTTACGACGACGTTTCGGTCCGACTTGGACCATTGACAAAGTAACACTAACAGGGGAGGAGCAGGACGGCTATATATAGGCAGGAAGAGGTGGAGGTAGTAGTAGTGGTAGTAGTAGTAGTAGTAGTAGTACAAGAATTGTATATAATACCGACAGGATGAAATGACACACGCACAACACCCGGCATCTCCACCGTAGACGTTTCGCCATCCAGCCAGCCACTGGCTGGATGGCGAAACGTCTACGGTGGGGATGCCCGGGTGTTGTGCGTGTGTCATTTCATCCTGTCGGTATTATATACAATTCTTGTACTACTACTACTACTACTACTACCACTACTACTACCTCCACCTCTTCCTGCCTATATATAGCCGTCCTGCTCCTCCCCTGTTAGTGTGACTTTGTCAATGGTCCAAGTCGGACCGAAACGTCGTCGTAAGCTTCTGTCTTTTATGTGCGGGTTATTTGTGTATGATTATAAAGAAATTATGCAGATGAAGAAGGACATAGATGAAGAACTACGAATTACTTACGTAAAGAAAGAATTAAGAAGATGGTAGATGGAATATGGAGGTGAAAGTGGAAATAAGCAAATCAAAAAGAAAATAATACAAAAGGTTAAGAAAAAAATTGTCAGAGGAAAGTTCCAACACCGAGCAGAATGAAAAAGCAAAACTCTCTCCAACAAACTGTCTCTTACCCGAGACATTGAACTCTGGGGTCGGTCTCGCAGTCTGTCTGTTAGTCTCTCTCTCTCTCTCTCTCTCTCTCTCTCTCTCTCTCTCTCTCTCTCTCTCCTCTCTCTCTCTCTCTCTCTCCCTCTCTCTCTCTCTCTCAAGTTTAATCTTCTGGCTTTGAAATGACAGCTCTATGAGACGAATTAAGACTTGGATTGGACCACTGGATGGAGGAAGAAGTTGAGGCGGGGAGGGGGTAAAGGCAGAGGAAGAGAAGAAGAGATGAAGCAGTAGACAGGAGAGATACAGGGAGGGAAGAGAAGTGAAAAAATTGATGAAGAAACTGGAGAGCTAGAACGGGGAAGGAAAGAGGTAGATGGAGGTAGACACATGAGTTAACACTGTCTCTCATCAACTTGTTGGCACTGTAGACCACTATAATATGGTCGTATCCCTTACGGGGATATGTCAAGGTCTACTTCAGGGATACCGCCAAAAACTTACCCACACATCTGCAAGAACACAAGTATGTACGCAGAACTAACAACACCAGTAATGCGTGAGTGCAACACCGCAACACCCATCACCACCACGTGATGTGAGAGAGGGAGAGAAAAAGCTTCACTGTTATTACGTGTAAAGGACAAAATTAATCGATGTCTGGAGTCTTCAGTCATCAAATTATTCAACACTATTAAACAGAATTATGACATGTTTACCCTGACTGCACACATCACCCGCTACATCTTTTAATAACAGGAATATGAAACACAGCATAGACCAATAAGCCTTCTGCAGTGCTCTTCTGATGCTGTTAGGTAAGACACATATGCAACAGTTAGGTATCTTTATTTCGAAACGTTTCGAAACCGGTATTTTATACCATTTTAATGTTCTTCTGATGCTGCACTTCCCGATCTTTTACATGACTTCACTCACCGAGTGCAGTGTTTAACAAACATTGTTCTCATGTTTTGTATTTTTTTGACAAATCGTCCTCGAGTGAGACATACCAACTTACTATTTGTCGACGCTGACGCCTTATTTATATTTAAGCATCGTAAGTTCGGTCTTCTAACTACCAGGTCTACCCACATCTAACTTGTGTTGCAGTGTCTGGCAGTGTGAATATAATAATGGCATACTATACATACATTCTTTGCGCCTCTGCACTATAAAAAGGCTCCTTTCTCATGATCAGTTTCACATGGTTCAAGACTATTAAGTTAAACACGTCTGCAGGTTGACGAATTGACCACCTTAAACTACTCCATCAAGGTTGATAAACTGACCATATCATCATTACGTCTACACTGCTGTTATCTCCATATTCGAAGCCTCTGTATTCGACTGATGAAACTTTCTGTGTAGGCGAAACGTTTCGGAAAAAAAGATACCTAAGTGTTGTTCATGTGTCTTACTTATCTAATTAACTCTCCTACCTACATCTAACCATCTATCCTAACGGCTTTTACCTGCGCAAACAACTTTACTGCTATTACCGACGTGTGGTAAAGAGAGACAGTACGCAGAGCAAGTCTCACTCAGCTCTGAATCTTCTCAAGCCA